AAACAAAAAGAAGGGAGCTACATGATATGTCCGTTAGATGAGTGAAGTGAGGATGCTGAAGATAGACGTTTAATCAGACTAGAATTGATATTGAAGTTAATGCTAAGTTATTGTTTGGTCGTGGTACATCTTATGCAGACTTAAAGATGCTCCAATTACAAGAGCAATTGGATACCGATAGACATTATGAGAGGGAGATGTGTATAGAAATTAATTTTATCTGGTGCAATTGGTAGAGTTCTTAATTTATTGGACGATTAAATGGACCAGTTGGATCATGTGTATCATGAATAAGGCTTATCATGTACTAATAAATTGGTTATCAAAGTAGAAGCTTGTTTCAGAGAAATTACAATCCCGTTATATTTGAAAGTAGAATATTAATTTTAACCACACATTATGTAGGATCTCAACTACTACTCACTTATTATCCACTAATGTGTGATCCGCTGCTCCTTTTCATTATAACTCAGTTATAATTTCAGGGAAACAAACAAGCACTAAAAATAAGACATTTCGTGCTTTATTTCATATTTTTTTATAAACTATTTATGCTTGCAGGTCCACTCTACGTTGACCGTTGGTGATTCTTTATTAGATTTGCTTGCATCGAAGTATTTCAACTACATTGATGTCCGGTATGATATTCTTAAGCACATGTTAATAAAGTTTGTTTACCCTGTATTGGCATTTTGTTTGCTATGAATTCTAGTTATAATGAGAATTCATATTTCACTTCAAGCATCTTTTTGGCTCTGTGTTGCTAAGCTATTACCAAAAACAGATTGCTAGACCGAGATATCTCACTGAAGCTACATATAGTTCAAGAAATGTTTCCTTTTATTGTTCCCCTTCCATTAGAAATTTGTGCTGCAGTAGCATAAAATATTCTTAGAAACACTTTAATCTTGGAGAAAAAATACGTCGATTCAACTTACTTGTGCAGTTAATGCTGTCTTGTCCAGGTATTTCACTTTCATTATCTTGGAAAAGCTGGCCCGAACTTTGGAGGCAAAAGGTATCTCTGATTCTCTCCTAGTCATACTTTTGACCATGGTGGTGATGTTTCACCTAAGAATATAAAATGAAATTCGCATAGACGTCATCTTCTTGGAAGTACCTTTAGTTCAATATCTTTTAAACATAATGATTTATTTTCCCACAGATGACAAGAAGGGAATTTCAGGCGTTTACGATGCGAGCCAGTCAATGACGAGGTTAGTATAGTTTGGGTCATGGACACAGTATACGTTTTAATTTGATATTATATTGTTGATATATTTTTTATTTTTTGGAAAAATACAATGATGTCATTACAATAGCTCCTAAGTCAATTGGGAGACCCAAAGTCGACCTATTCTTTTGTACGCCGTGGTGCACCATTTCTATTTAGAGAATCGAAGTTGCTGCCCAAAATGATATTTCTAGTTGTTTCACACGGTCTTGCAACGTGGACACACTCAAACACCTGAGATGAAATACCCACCCATAAATGACTCCAGATCTCAAACATTCTGCCTTGGCCCTCAAGGCTGAAAAATTTACTGCCCATGTTCTTAAAGTGGCTATTTTGAAAACTCATTATATTTACTTGGAATAATTAGCCATCCTTTTAGCATAGAAGGGATTTTCTGTAGTATTTTTGGGGTTCAACTTTCTTCTCGTCCATTATAAATACTGTTGTTTTAAATTTTTATTTTTAGTATAGAAGTGACTTACACTTGCTCTAGGCATTTCTCTCTTAAGCCCCTGTCTGATGGCCGTTATTTGGGATTTTCAATGTTTTGAATATTGAATTTTTGGAGAATGTGTGGTTAAAAATGAGTATGTAGAAAGAGTTTTGAAATAAAGGATGTCAAATACGGGCTTATTTTTTTGTTTTGTTTTTCCTGGGGTTGCGGTGGGTTTGAGGGAGTTTTGAAGATTTTGATAAGCGTATGCGTGTGTTTAAATTGTTTGTGCTTTTTAAACTGGCCGGGTTGTTGAGAATACTCGGCTTTCATAATATCAAGGTGGTTCTACTTCTAGATTCAAGCAATGAAGTTTGTCAATCTGCCTCAAGGATTTGTAAATGTTAAACATCTATTGTTGGGCGTTTGACGGTGCCCACATAAAATATTAAATTAAATACTAGTGGATTTGTTTGCACATATATTTTGGCTTGAAGATGGAAAAAGGATAAAATGATAAAATCATGGAAGCTGATTACTATCGCACTTTATGATTATTTACTTCTGGAACTTCATGAAATCTGAACCAGCCATCCTCGCAAAATATTCTATTTCCTGTGAAAATCTCAAAGTTACCACATGTTGATACTGTAAAAAAATGTGACTTTTTATAGTTGACTTTCCTTCCATAGTTTTGAATTGTTTTTTATTAAAGTTTTTGTCAATCATGGAGTCTGATACTTACACCATTGTGTTTGTAGCATGGAGCTTTCTATTCACAAGATACATAATTTGCTATCTCATATCCCAGCTCTAGAAGCTTCGGATGAAAATTCGGAATATGAAATGTGGAATGGGTTAGGTAAATAGCTTTTGACTTTCTCCTTGATACTAAATCTAACATTTCTTTGTACTAAGTTTATTTTTCATCATCACTTTTTAGTACTAATCGTGTGTACCACACTATATTTCTTGTATCTAAATCAAGGAAGAAAATATTATGGTGAATGCAATCTCTTCATGCACGGTTCACCTAAGTTGTAACCAAAAGACTTGCATGATTATCATTGTTAGTGTTTGGTTGCTTGAAAAATTTAGTTTGCAAGAATTAACTATATCGTGATATCTTTAGCAGTGAAGAATGATAATTGCACATTGCTAATAGCAATAGAAGACAATGGATGGTTTCCTTTTGATTTATGTAGTGATAGTATTTTGAACAATAGTTAACTAGTGTTTTGGAAGTTTTTGAGAGAAAGCTTCGGGAGCTTCCATACTCTGGTATCCTGAGTATTTTCGTAGTCATCAAACTTTCAGGGAAAAATAAAACGAAGCCCTTATCCGAGCCCCATTTTTTAAATACTCATTTTTTGCAAACTTATTTTCAAACTCATTCTTCCCAAAAATTAATTTTACACGTAAACTCAAAACATTTTTCTACATTTTAATCACACATCCTCGAAAAACATATTATTAGAAAATCTATTTTTAAAAAAGAGGCTCAAACAAGGGCTAATGTTTTTCCAGGAAGGTTTAGTTTTGGCGATTTATGGTGGAATCTAAATTGAGGAGAATCTGCCAGTTTCAAATAATTAAGCTGTATCGCATTGAAGAGAATTGGCTCACTTGATAGAGGATATTCACAAGTCACTTGAATAAGATCGTACAGATAATTTGTTTGGAAATATTACTCTCTGGGAGATCATATGAGTATCTCAATATTTTGTATTTGACTTGTCATGGTTTCAACTCAGGTTTTGTACATCATTTTCTCAAGAATTTGCTAAATGCCGTAGGTTTTACCAATTATGTTAAATAATTTTCTTATAGCTTCCTGGTTGTCTTCCATCTTATCTCAGTAAACCTGCAATTTCTTTATTTACTGACTACAGCTTGAGTTTGTTCTTATCTTTGTAAATCAGGCATTTTCATTGAAAAGAGCAATCACAAAGAACTTATTGACGTGGAAGATAAACGGATAAAATCTAAGAAGTCTAGTGATAAGGTACATTCTAGTAAGAAATTCAATAAAAATGATAATGCGCTGAAACACTGTCATTTTAATAAAGCAACGAACTTCTATCAGAGACTGCCGCTTATTTTATTCTAGGCAGTAAATTTTTTGGTATTTTTCAGGTTTTATCAGAGAACAATATTACAAAGAAGATGAAACTGAAGTTTACTAAAGCCTGGATATCATTTCTCCAATTGCCACTTCCTCTTGATGTATACAAGGAGGTAAAAACAAAAAAAATTATCATTGAGTTAATTCCATATTATTAAAAAAAGGTATCTGATTATGTATTTTTATTAAGGGGATTGGTTTTCAAATATATTCTGCACTTCATCTGTACATATTCCGACACTCTAGCTGTGTGGCTTAATCTTTGTTCTGTAGTGGTCTAGCTACTGTTTATAGACCTTTATTCTTGAAAAAAAATAGCTTTTGCAAGAATGAATCAGCCTTTACGTTTATTGATCTGAATTTGGTTAGTGATAAATAATTCGATATATTATGACTGTAAACTCTTGGGTTAACTTTTTATTGTTGTGGAATGATGAAATTGTTTTCATTGAATCTTCATAATCAGTAAAGGCTACACCATAGAATTCTCAATATACTGGGTGAATATGATCATGAAATGCAAATAGTTTGATCTGAAAGTAACAAGCTGACTTTCAATTCTTGCTGTCCTTTCAAAAAATTATATTTGGGCTCGTGAAAAGTAATATTATGATGCTGACCCCAATATAGGAACAAGGCTGGATTTTCTGCATGTTTTGAGCTCTAAGTGTGGTGAAAAATAATATTACAATGCTGACCCCAATATTGGAACAAGGCTTGATTTTCTGCATGTTTCCCATAGCTCAAATTATAATTTAAGATGGTGAAATATACTTTTTATCAACAATTTTCATAGGACTCTCAACTGCTACCCACTTATTATTCTCAGATTCCGAAAGAACGTATAATCACTTAAATATTAATTCGAAGCATACCCAAGCATGCTCTTTGTTGTTGTATTTGAGTTCTAATTGATACTTCTATCATGATTTTCCGCTTTCTTCACATACCTGCCATCTGATGATCAGGTTCTTGTTACACTTCACCAGAATGTCATTCCTCGCCTCTCTAAGCCAATCATGTTATGGTAAAATATGTATTGATTTGTCATTTACTTATATTTTCTTGATTATTCGATCCTTCACATTTGACAACTATTTTAAGTGTTCTTAATCTATGATATGCAGCGATTTCTTGACCCGATCATATAATATTGGTGGTGTTGTGAGTGTTATGGCTCTAAGCAGCCTATATGTTCTCATGACAAAACACGGTCTTGAATATCCAAACTTCTACGATAAGCTTTACGCTCTATTGGAGCCCTCTATTTTCATGGCAAAACATAGGGCAAAATTCTTTCAGGTAATTGTGAATATTCTTGTTTCATTTTTTGTTGCAAAGTATTGCTCTACGTCATCTTTGAATCTTATTAATGAGCTCAGATCTTAAATTTCACAACTACTAATTGCTGGTCTTAACCAAGTTGAATGGATATGTGTAAACTTAAGGATTGGACATGGTTATATACCTGCCAAAAGAAAATCATTAGGGAATCTATCCTGCTCCGTCAGTTTATTGTTTATATGCTTCTTTTAACTTTAAGTTGACGTTTAGTATTTTTTTGGCCAAGATATGTAAACGTAGCACCAACAACTTAGTTATTTAACACTCAGCGAGTCTTGCCCTCCGGTTGCAAATCATAAGCGATATGCGAGGGATAAGAATATAGAAAAGAAGCACTATAGACAAGCCATTCCCTATCTAAACTGGCTAAAAACCATTATTAAGGTGCACGCAGGCAAATACTCAAAACGTGACTTTAAAGCCAATAAATGAAAAGCACGTAAAGTAATGAATAAGACGTGATACTATAAGGGTGGGTGTGATTGCAAGCATGGAATTTGCAATTGCCCAGAACTTATTTCCATGAAAATTATTGTTTTGAGTAGTTCAATTTTCAATCTAGAAAATTTTATACTTGTCCATTTTTTATTGGTGGGTAGATGAGAGGGGTAAAAGAGATTGAATTGTCTAGAAAATAAAAATTTATTCCGAAAAGAAAATGTTTTCCTTGTTTTTGAGGAAATTATGGTCATGTGATCAACTTTTGAAAAATATTTTTCATGGAAAAAAATGTCACACACCCCAAAAGTAGGAATTTGGGTGAAAAATGTCATTTTTCATGGAAAATAAAGCCAATTAAACACATTCTAGTATAATCAGTTTTAAGTTGATTAGTTGATCAATAAGAGGTCTCCATCTGCCATTTTTCCTGAATGACCAATAGCCCCAAAGCTACGAGGAAAATCTGTAACTACTTTCATCTAAGAGAGAGAGCATGCACAATTTAAATATCTTCCTCCTAAATAGTCATTTCTCTTGCTCCGGTTTGAGTATCAAAATATCGAGTTTAGAAGGTGAATCTTAGCTAGGTGAATGGAATGTTAATCTGATTTTTATCAACAACACGTTGGCTCTGTCTGTGGGAACCTTAAGCTAAGTAAATCACAAAGTTATGCGATGGAATTGAGAAATCTTGAAATTTGCAGAAATAGCCAAATGTAAGTAGATCCGAAAGAAAATAAAAGTGTTAGAAGTTGAAACAGAAGAGTCCAGTGATGATTCAGCTGATAGTGACACCAATTCGAAGCGAAATTGAGAAGAAACATCGGTAGAATTTCACGCTGGCATTTTTATCTCTTCGATGCCAATACCAATGGAAAAGAACGCATATAGCGAAAGCTGTATAGGAAATGGAGGAAAATCTCAAGGTGCTAGCAGTAGAAAATGCGTATCTACGTGCAACAAATGAGAATTCAAGGGAAAGTTAGTAGGATGAAATCGGCCGAGGAGAAACAAAGATTGTTACTAGTTTCTTTTTGAAGAACTGTACAACTTACTGTCATCACAAACTTGCAATTTTGCACTGGAGGAGAAGTGGAGGAAACAACAGATTAACAGATTTGCTTTGGAGAGACTTGCGGACAAAGCAAACTTTCATGATTGAAAATATTACCAATGCAATCATTGGGGAGATCAAAGGGTGGAAAGCTTTGACAATTCTTATAATATTCAACTGTATGGAGAATCCAAAGGCCAATTTGCATAGGAGAAATATGATAAAAAAGAAGGTCTGATGTACCAATTACTATCAGATGATCAACGATTGGCTACCACAGAAATAAGTAGTCATAGTAACATTCGATAAAAGCAGGATCAGACAGACATCAACAAAGAGGAGAATCCCTCAAGAGTGACTTCACACGTTTTAAAACTGAAATGATGAAGCGAGAGATACCTATAGAATGGCTTGTTGAAGAGGACTCCCTTCTGGCAAGAGGCCATCAAAAGGTATCTATGTTCTTTCCACCCATTAATAGATTTCATATGCAATGAGATCTAGGTAGATGATATCCTCAATAATCGAAGGAGGCAGATGCAAGGTTATAAGGGAGAATTCAGGAGAGAGGCTTCTATGTTTGCATCTGGATGGCCTTGATCGCAATATCATTCTCTGCAGCACCCTCGTAGGTTATAAGCAAAGCATGTCTTCCCCTTAGAAGACAAAAGGCAAATTCTGTAAAATCCACCATACGAGAAGCCACAATATGAACGAATGCTTTAAAGTGTTTAAAATTGTAAGGCTTCGAAGCAAGCATGAGAATATGTATAGGGCCTAATAAGAGGATGGGATGAGGTGTACGAAGGTATTGCAAGCGTCAATTAATGTTGCGAACTCTCAACCCTCAACGAGATAAATCAATATTATAATCAAACCCCTTGTGCAGACGAAGATACAAGGAATGCGCACAATACACGCTCCCAAACAAAGGAGCCCACATTTAGCCCCTGTTTGAGCCACGTTAAAATTTTCATTCTCATTCTTCTACTCATTTTCAACCACGCATTTTTCAATAAAATAATATTTTCCATCACATTAATAACTTTTCATTCTTTTTCAATTACACATACTCTATCAATCTAC